CCTTTTAGCCTGAAGTATGTATGTAGATACAATATTGCAGCAGCTTTCTACCTACCTTTTGTTTTTTTCCACTAATAATTAGTATGCTCTAGAAATATGTATTTACGGAAATAGAGCACATGATTTCGTCCATTTTAGAGTTGTAGCAGGTAGTGAATTTTTCTTCAAACTGCATTTCGCTAAGTGTGGAGTTGTGTGTTTTTTTTGGATTTCCCTGAATACAAGATAATTCGTAAATACGTACGTTCTTCATAAAATTTTATTTTGTAAGAGTTTTGGGTGTGCACCTACATAAAAGAGGGAAACGATGCGGATGCTCCATTCGTGATCACTCACAACAGCTTATCCTGAAAACTTTTTAGGGCGTTGTATGGAAGATGGTTTTTCGCTTTTCTAAGGAATTACGCTATAATTGCACGTATACATATACATATGCATTGTCGTCAGTGGTAGAAGTAATATAAGAGTCTTCCCACAGTGGTAATTGCCTATTGCATCGCATTTCTTTTTCGAATCGTATTACAGAGCAGCCTCTCAGATTTTTTTGGAAAATATAAATCGTATGCTGCGAATGCCGCATTATACTAAAGCCAACCTTTCGACATAAGCTACTATTCCATATGAACACAGATATGTACATATATAAAAATGAAGCAAATTATTACATTACATTATTTTATCTATTTATTTTCTTCAATTTCTAATTTTGAGAAGTGGAGAATATCAAATTGTAATTTTGTTATCAATAGATTCGATAACGATTTTTTTGAAAATTTTGTACGTAACTTAGTGAGTATTGTAGAAAGTGCGCTGAAAGCCCGCTCAACAGAAACTTGTGTTGCTGGTACTGCTAATACAACCTCCGCTAACTTCAACATCTCACACTCATTCCGATAAAATTTTCTCCAGTATTCCAGGACATTTGTGTCGAACGGTGCCATTTCTTTTACACAGAGATTAACCAGCTTTTGTTTGATGTCAGGTTTTACGATTGGTCTCGTTGCACTTTGCGATTTGGCCAATGACCTTACGTGAAGCGTTAACTTATGGTACGCCCCTTTCGATGTGCTTGTAAGTTCATTGTCCTATGTTGTATGTGGTACAACTCCAGAAGTGCAATCATTCTCATATTCTGGATCATTTCGTAAGTCCTTATTAAGTGATCCTGTAAAAGAGTAGGAAAAATTAAAATAACTGGATTAGTATCTCACAATTATAAAAACATAAAAAATTCAAAGTAAACAATAAATTAATTGAACGAAATATAATATCAAGATAATGAATTTTGAAATAAATTTCAATTGGCTTACCATTGCAACATCCTTTTGCTCAGAGCTGGGGAGAGGCGTTTCTTCAAAATTCAGCGACGAATACCTTATATTCTAAAAGGACATTTTTTCTTATTTTCATCGCATTTAGGAGGGAATCTGCATAAATATTTTCTGCGACCAAGTCTGCAAGCTCTAGTTCGCAAGTAAGCCAATCCCTGAAGAAGTCTCCTATAAT